GGACAGGGCTTGGAGCCACCTGATCTAATTGAGGGTGTCCCTGCCCCTGGCAAGGGCTGGAACGAGATGAGCATTAAGGTCCTTCCAACCCAAACCATCCTATGTGTGCTGGTTTGAAAAGCAAACCGGTGAGAGACTCTGAATCAGAAGTACAATTTAATATGAACAACACAACAAAACAACACAAATGCAACAGTACAAAAAAAAAGTAACCTGACAGAGTCAGAAAGTAACCTGACAGCCTGTCAGTCAGGGTGTAGTAGTAGTCCGATTAAATGGTGGCTGCAGTCCTCCTGGAGTGATGGCTTTGCTGGAGCAGTGATCCCGCAGATCCGGTTCTCTCCTGAAGGTCCAGCAGCAGCTCTTGTGCTCTGGGGATCCAGCAGGCAAAGGGCTAACCTGTGCTGGTCCAAACCTCAGCTTATATCCCTGTGAGCATGTTTGGCTCCCATCCCTGGGGTGAGTCACCTCACCATGGGACAAGGCGATACAGATCACTGGGAGGATGTGTCATGCATGGGTCCTTGACAGCTCGTTAATCAGAGACAGCCCCTGAGGGAGCCATCAGGATTGCCCTGAGGGAGGGACAAGGTGATAACGATCACTGCCCCACCTGCTTTAACAGCTTGTGGAGATGATAATAGAATACATACCATGGATACCCCACACACTGCAACCCAGGACACTATGAAAAACAAAGATAAGAAATTCACACACATTTTCCCTCCTTGGTCGAGATGTGGGCAACGTTGCAGTGCACAGCTTCAATTGCTGCAGAAAGCCAAAAAACAAGACCAAAGGCAGATTTACTTTCACACTGGTAATGAACAGTTCACACTGTATGTACCTGCACCAAAGCTGTGTTAACACACACCCTTGCAACAAACACTGGTATTTCCATGTCAAGACTGTTAAAACTGGCATTACCTACTGAGAAATATGAGCCCTTTCCATGAATCCAGATACTGAAACACTGATGCCTATTAAATCCTTCCTTAAAAGAAGAAAATTGTGTAACAAACAGTAATTCTTTGATACTTTATGTGCAAGTCTATACTCATAGGGCCACATCACCCTGTTCATTCTCAAGACAAAACAAACAGTAGTAAGTTGGGAACTGGTTTCAGGGTGTGGGGCTGTTTTGGCAGGTACCAGGATGGGCTTTGAGACACTGCAGAGGTTTTTGAGGTGCTGGGAGGGATCTGGGGATGCTGCAAGGGCTTTGGGGATTCTACTGGATGCTGAACATGTTTCCCTGTTTCGTAACATTGTCTCTGTCTTTTGCAGGGTAAGCTCTTTGACTCCACAGTGACTGATGAAGGAACGTGGACGTTAGGTAATAACCTCCATCTGAGCTGACACTACAAAGGCAGTAGAACTCCTCAGCATATGCTGCAGAATTTCCCCTCCCTTTTTAATGGGAAGATTACTTTCTTCCCCATACACAGCTTTGCAACAGAGGCAATCAATATTGCTGGACTGAGGTCCTCCAAAAGCCCTGGAGACTAGGGTTATGTGGAAATGCCATATTCTGGAAGGGAGCAGTGAGTGGGTTCTCTGTTCCATAGAGTGAGATGTTTTTTGGAAACTCTCATTTAAAGGTGGACAGTCTGTGCCTTTCCATAACTGTTTTTCTTGGTTTTTTTCTTCTCCTGCTTCTTATAATTTGGGAATGGGTGACAAAACCTACAGTCCAAGAGAATCAGAAAGAAATATAAAAATCACACTAAGGTACCTACAGATCATGAGGGGGAAAAAAGCATATCTGATTACCATATCATAAATACTGCAAGGCATTTGGAATATTTTGGGGTTTGGCAATCATACTTGTGGACTGTGCCCCTCACTGTTTGCCTATGATGGATTTTGTTTTCCATTCAGTGTTTATTCTAAGTATTGATTAATAATTTAGTAACTTAAGCATGAAAACTAGAAGTGTTAACAAACATGGTGAAGCCCTTTTCAGTAGGTGAGTAGTCTGCAAAATACACTGATAATGCTGTGTTTATTCACTTAAGGAGAACTAAACAAACTACCTGTGAACTCTGTGCTTCCAGTATATTATCTGTGGGCATGCACAATGTTTACATACAAAATTATCCCTTCACATGTCTCTAAATCTTAGCTTTTGTTGGTAACAGCTCTCTGGAAAGCCTGACCTCAGATCCTCCATTATTGCCTCAGCAGATGTGTATATGTTAATAGATCAAATCTGTTCTCTGTTGTGAACCTGTCCAAGAAATTAATTACAATGTGTAATGTACAACATGTTTGCAATAGAAGTACTTATGAACTGTGTTTGGATCCTTTAAAGCCTTTTACAGGGCAGAAAGGGCAGAGATGACAGGACAGGCTCTTTGCTTCAACCTTTTTGATTCTTGTTAATGTTGATTTGTTTATCAATAACTGTTGGCACTGCCATCAGGAATTTCAAGTACTTCACACATCCTGTGCTTGTTAATGGTGAGTTCACCAACACAACAAGACTGGCACACAGGACTGAGTTAAAGGTGGTTCTCTGCTTTCATTCCACAGAAGACAGGCAGCTGATACGGATTGTGCTCATGAAGACAAATAGAGACGCTGGAAATTGTTGGACATCTCTGTTAGAAAATGAATATGCTGCTGATCCTTGGGTACAGGACCAGATGCAGAGGAAACTTACACTGGAGCGATTCCAAAGAGAGGCAAGTTAAAGGATCACAGTTACTCCTTACACCCTGTGTTTGCACACAGAGGTTATGGCCAGGAGGGCTGAGCAATGTCATCCTGCTGCCCAGTGCCATGGAAACATAGACTGTAGTTCAACATATATATATATAAAATGCCTCTGAGGCTTTATCACGGTACTCTGAACAGGTCATAGGCTTTTTGTTTGCTGGTTGGGGTTTTAAGCATTTCCATTACAAATAATCTATTAATTAAACCATTGTTTTCTTTTGTCTCCCTCAGAACCCTGGATTTGACTTCAGTGGGGCAGAAATTTCTGGAAACTACAGCAAAGGAGGACCAGACTTTTCTAGTCTTGAAAAGTAAATCTTTCATCTGTGTTCCTCTAGAGGAATTACACATTACAGTCAAGGACTGGAATCATGTAACTGGTGAAGGCTTCAGTGCTCTTTTCAATGGATTGTTGTCGACAGTACTTACTTCAGTGAAGAGAAAGAAGATCTCTTCCAGTAGAATTAAGACAAAATGTTACCAGCTGATTGATAAGCTGCAATAACTTTATAATAGTAAAGGACAAATTACAGAGAAAGGTGCACATAAAAAAGTAACATCTTTAAGCAGAATGTTTGGTTTGGGTGTTGTTTTTTTTTTAGAAACACCACAGTAAACGAGTCAGTTATAAATCTACCACTTGTCTTTATGCAAGGAGACCTTGCTTATCTACACCTGAGGAGGAATAACCCCATGCACCAGTACAGGCTGGGGCTGACCTGCTGGAGAGCAGCTCTGTGGAGAAGGTCCTGGGGGACGGGCAGCTGTCCATGAGCCAGCAGTGTGCCCTGGGGGCCAGTGGGACCCTGGGATGCACTAGGAAGAGCATTGCCAGGTCAGGGAGCTGATCCTGCCCCTCTGCTTAGCACTGGTGAGGCACATCTGGAATGCTGTGTCCAGTTCTGGGCTCCTCAGGACAAGAGGGACATGGAGCTCCTGGAGCAGGTGCAGTGGAGGCTATGAAGATGCTGAGAGGACTGGAGTACTTCACGTCTGAAGAAAGGCTGAGGGAGTCGAGCCTGTTCAGCCTTGGGAAGAGACACAGAGAGGACCTCATCAATATATTTAGGTATCTGCAGGGAGGTATCAGAGGATGGATCAGGCTCTGCTCCAGCAATAGGACAAGACACAACAGGCAGGAACTGATAAAACACAAAGTTCCATCTGAACATGAGAAAGAACTTTACTGTGCAGGTGACTGGCACTGGAACAGATTGCGCAGAGAGGGTGTGGAGTCTCCCTCCCTGCAGATATTCCAGAACCGTCTGGACACAATTCTGTGCAATGTGCCCAAGGGAAGACCCTGCAGGAGCAGGGCAGTGGGACCAGTGACTCCACCCATGGTGCCTTCCAGCCTTACCCCTTCTGTGGTTGACCACTGAAGAACTGATGTTGTAAAATATTTAGTATCTTCTCTTAACAGGAACAGGATATGAGGATGGCGACAATGACACTTTCCCTCTGTAGCAGCCTGCTGAAAGCTCAAACATGATCTCAAAATGTTATTTAAATCCACGGCTGTAAAATCTTCTTTGAGGCAACCCACTGTGCTGTCAGATATAGCACAAATGATTAATCCTTGCTACCACGTCAGCAATACAAGAAAACTGAAAGATCATCTGAAAATCTGAATATACCTAGTTGTACGTGTTCATGTAAGATATCCATCCAGAATAAATATTCAGGATTTTGAAAGAGAATATAAAGACTTTTCAAAGGAATAGGAGAGTCTTGAGGTAGGAAATGGTATCTATTCATTACCAACATTGAGAGTGAAAACTGTTGACAGTATGTCTAAAAGGCTGACCATTTTTGTTTACACAGTTTTACATTTTATCTCTACCTTTTAAGCTCAGCTATTGTTTTATATCATCTTTTGCATGTGCCAATCAGGAATTTTCTACTCATTGTTACAGATGCAGCTGAGGAGCATTCCAACCACTTGGAATGATGTGTGCTATTAGTTAAATAATGGAAGAGCTGAAGTCAAATTTGAACAGTCTAAGCTACTTAAGTCAGTTCTTTTCACTCTTGACACTTCAACATCTCAAAAGGTTTAGAGTAATTGTGGGCCAAGTTGAAATAATTTTAATCAAGCACCTTGAGTTTCTCCTGTGGTTGTCTAACCTTTCCCATGCAGTCTCAAGCTCTCAAAAAAAAAAAAAAAACAAAACTGAAAAAAAACATTATGTCTTACCTCCTGCCTGGAAGTTTTCCTCCAGGTACTGTTCAGGTATAAGTCACTTTATAGGTTTCCTACTAAGATGTTTTATAATAAACAAGAAAAAAGTTATTCAGTTAAGCACATTTCAATGTTTAATTGAAAGGTACATATCTTGGTACTGACACATGACAATCTGAATTGCACATGGCATCCTGCCCATCTCTGCCAGGAGGCTGAGCACACTTGTATCCACAGCACAGGCAGTACTGGCAGGTGCAATAGCCAGTTCCTGTGAGCTCGTGGGAAGACTTGATTTGTCCAGTAAAGAGCTTTGGTTTGAAGTCTTGTGTGAAAGGTTTAACTAGTTTGAGATACACAAAGAATGGTTTCCCCTCAGCTGTTGCCATAGCATGGAGAGGGGTGGATGGCAAACACCTAAGCCCTTGCTGTCCTCACAGCATGCTGATCCCTCCTTCCCCACTACATCACTCCACATGGCAATCCCAGTTCTAACAGATTATTGCTGACAACGTCTGTCCCATGGTGATGCAGAATTCAAGGGGACATGAGCAACATTCCCCAGCACCTCTAGTCATCCACCATACAATAACACATTCTTACTCACTTCCTTGTTAGCACCAGGAGCATGATATGCCTCAAGTACTGAGCTGGTCTTCAGAAAAGACAGTTGTATTTTAGAAGCTTCCCATTAAAGAGATCACAGTTGAAGCAATCTTCAGTGTTTCTGAGCTAGATTGCTCCTACACACAGGCCAAGATGGGGCTTAGCTCTGCTCCTACTGTGCCTGTAACAATGCACCTGTCCAGCACCAGCATTTACCTCCAGTACAGCCAAACTTTGCCTCAGGGCACATGACCCAGTGCTTTCCCTCAGCCTTCATTAGGTATCTCAGAGATTTTACACTCCATGACATAATTCATCATCTCAGTAAACTGCAGCTCTTGCAAAATACTCAAATTCCTGATGCTGTGTTAGTAACGGCCTCTTACAAGGGAACACAATAGAGTTTCTCTTTTCTCCTGCTCTAGCTATACATTCAGTACCACACAGGCTGATTTTTATTGTGTCTGTGGCAGAAGGGCAGTGCTCTCCCTGATAGGAACACGTGGGCACATGGCACTGCCCAAACAGCACCTCAGGTGAGCTGACAGGCACCTCCTCTTGTCACCAGTATTGAGTGGGATTAGCCTTTAGCTTGACTGACACACTGCAGCACTCTGCTACTGCACAGCCTGTTCTCCTAGTGTCCTGTAATCCTTGGAAAATGAACCTGGTTTTTTTTTTAAATTAAATATATCATTCAGCACCTGCAGTTACAGTAAACCAAGGTTAGACTACACAAGCTGCTCTACAAACTACAAGGTGTTAAAATTCCTTGTATGAGCAGTGTGGTATTTCACTGAGCAGTAAACAGTCTACCAACTCAGCCCCAAAACTGACACTGCATACTGTTGTCATCATCATCAAAAGAAACTATTTGCTAGAAGGATGTTTAGTTTGAACTGCTATATATTCTTTCCCCAAGTTGAGTTCTTCGTGATTAAGATCATCTTTCAGACTTGGTTTCTCACATCTCCATGTGTCTGTTGACAAGGGCACAGGATGGTTCTCTCCTCTTTTACTGTAGTCCTGTAAAAAACCCAAACAAACCAGTCAACTGAAGGGCTTGTTTCAAGAGCCAAACAAAGCAGAAGGTTTTCATACAGCAAGACAACAGCAGGACAGCTGTTACAGGACATGTGTGGCCTCTGGAATTAAAGTCTAGCTAGTAGTTCACAGTTTCCACAGAGTAAAACAACAGTAAGAACCGAATACAGATTTTAGACTTTATTAAATGGTTACACAAACTGTATATAACTGTCTTCCTTGTAAGTGGTTTAGGTGAACAACTACAAGAAACTCATTCTAACAGGCTGATTTTGTTTAATGATAGGAGCAAGTCAAATTTTTTCTCTGCCTTTTTACCAGCTCTGCTCCACATTTTAGTCTGAATGAGGTCCCCATGTCTGTAGAACACTTCTGCTCCCACAGCACACCAGAGAATCAGTTCTTTCTCCAGCATTCATATATTAAGTTGTCACTTCTTTAGGTACAGCACTGGGTCAAACACAAACATGAGAACAGAGCAGCTGTAAGACAGGCCTACTACATTTATCTTACATGTCTCCACCAGGTAACCTATATGGAATAAGAAACCTGGGGGTAGTTAGCAGCTAATTACTGCTACATTATCAGGAGCTGATTTACCTCTTAGGAGCTGGTCTCTGGAATGGTAGGAAGGTGTGTTATCCTGTAGTAGCTGTGCTTCAGCTGCTGTGCTGTACATCCAGACACAATCCACTTCAACTTCTGGACATTTGGTTTGGAACATTTGCTAGAAGAATATTCTGTAAGGCACTTGAACACCAGTTCCTTCCATAAGGTCAAATCTGTGTTGTTTATCTAAATAGCAAGACAGAATATCATACATTAATAACTAGTTAAATCTTTATGTCAGACATGTACTTTCAGCTTCTTCAGCTAAGACAGGCAGCCAAACACCCCAGGCCAAAAGGGAAAAACACAACAAAACACCACAACAAAGCCACAGAAGAAACCAGTATGCCAATGGACCTTCCCCTTCCCCACCACGTAGACCTTTGCATGCATTTTTTTTCTGTCTCCCCTGAAACTTTATATACATACCTTGGAATGCAACTGCAGAAATTCCAAAGCCTCTGTCAATTCCAGCAGTTTTTGTTCTTCTATCTCTAGTGCCATAATAGACAGTGCCAAGACAGAAGGCTGGAGAGAGAAAAAGTTTGTAACCACTGCTTTGTTCAGTTTCAGTAGTGTCATTGTCTCTGAGCACTCAAGATGTTTACCTTGGCTTTAGAGAACATGATTCTGCAGTGACAGGCCTTAAGCTGGGTCTCAAGTCTCTCAAAATTAAGATATTTTCTCCTATAATAAAAAAAACTGAGTGAATCGAGAAGAACACAAGCTTGATCAAGGCAGCATCACCCTAGGAACCTGGAGCAGCAGTGAGAATGTTCATTATCTACACAAAGGCCTCGTTTATCCCAGAAGCTCCAGGGTTATAGTCAAACAGGTGTTCGGTTTTGGCACTCCTAATGCCAAAAATAAAACCTGTGTTATGCTGGGGAGAGCTGCATGGTCCAAACAGGCCTAATAACATGGAATTTTAGTGCTTACTAGCAAAAGGAATCTTTTCTAAGCCAGGTTTTGAAATCTCTGCAATGAGGCAATACTTCAGTGCAGCATAAGCAGAGATTCATTACACCATCAGTATTGAGCAAGGCTAGTTTTCAGCTCAGAGAGCAAATGCTCTTTGGATCAATTTATGCAGTAATATTGAAAATTAAAATATTAAACCACAGATAT